GTAGTCAATAAAGCACAGGTAAACATCTTTCTGATATTCTCTGCTTTCAGCCAAGATCCATCAGACATCAGCAATGATATCCCTCATTCCACAGCCTCTTCTGAATCTGGCTAGAACCTCTGGAAGTTCTCAGTCAATGTATGCTTATAGCTGATTTTATATTACTTTTAGTAAAACTTTACTCACATGGGATATCAAAGATATTGTCTGATGATTTCCATCAAATTCCATTAGGTCACCTCACTTTGGAATGGACACAAATATGGATTTCTTCCAATCAGTCGGCCAGATAGTTGTCTTCCAAATTTCTTGGCAGAGATGAGTGAGTGCCTCCTGTGCCACTACATTTTCTTGAAAGATTTCCATTTTTATTCCGTCAATTCCTGGTGCCTTATTCTTTGCAATTTCCATCAGTGCACCTTGGACTTCTTCCTTCAGGATCATTGGTTCTTGATTATATGCTACCTCTTTAAATGGCTGAACATCAACCATTTCCTTTTGGTACAGTGACTCTGTGTATTCCTTCTATCTTCTCTTGATGCCTTCTGCGTTATTCAATAATTTGTCCAGAGAATCTTCAATAATGAAAGTCGAGGCTTGAATTTTTTCTTCACTTTCCCCCAGCTTGAGAAATACTGAGCATGTTCTTAATTTTTGGTTTTCTGACTCCAGATCTTTGCACATTTTGTTGTAATATTATCCTTCTCAAGCAGATCTTTGAAATTTTCTGTTAAACTCTTGGACCTCCTCATTTTTTCCATTTGCTTTAGTATCTCTACACTGGAGAGCAAGTTACAGTGTCTCTTCTGACATCCATTTTGACCTTTTCCTTCTTTTTTGTCTTCTTAAAGACATTTTGCTTTTTACCTGTATGATGCTCTTGGTGTCATCTTACTATAGTTACCATAAATTACGCATTGTTGAAGTAAAGCCCATTTTATTATTGGATTTTTATTTTAAATCTACCATGTATATATAATTATTTATCTTGGATGTTCAGTAATACTTCAAGAAATCTTAATAACTCAGATATCTGTAATTTTTAAGATTCCCAATAAGTGCTAATGTTACTTGAGAACTCTTTAGAGAAAGACAAGATTAGGTTTTAGTTGAGTAAAACCACTTAAATGGTGTTTTTGTCACTGTTGAAAGGTATAAGTTTATCAAAGGCAAGCCCCTGCATGGTACAAACGGTTTGCATTCAATTACTAACATGAAGGTTGGTGGTTCAAACCCATTCAGTTGCTTAATGGGAAAAAAATGTATGATAATATTTTCACAAAGATTATAACCAAGAAAATATTTTCATAAAGGTTATAGCCAAGAAAATTCTATGGAGCAGCTCTTTTCTGTTACACGTGGGTTTGCTGTGAGTTTAAATCAACTGGATGGCAGGTTGACCCTGGTCCTTATGTACTCGTGAACATGCTCAAAAAGACCAGGTAAAGTATTTTAATGAAATGTGCAAAGACCTAAAGCTGAAAGAACTATAGAAAAAAATTCAAGCCTTGACTTGCAATATTGAAGTATGCTGTGGGCAAAATATTGAATGATGCAGAAAGCATCAGAAGATGGAAGGGATACAGTCACTGAACTAAAAATAATTGACTGATGTTCAACCATTTCAAGGGGTAGCATATTATAAAGAACTGATTGTATTGAAGGACTAAGTCCAAGCTGTACAGAAGTCATTGTTGAAAAACAAGGCTTCAAGAATTGAGGGAATATAAATTGAAATGTTTCAACAAACGAATGCAGTACTGGAGGCAATAGCTCATATATGCCAAGAAATGTGGAAGAAATATGGCCATACAATTGGAAGAGATCTATGTTTCTACCCATTCCAAAGAAAGTTGACCCAACACAATCTTCAAACAACATAAGTAATATGATTTGCAAGTAAAATTTCTCTGAATATTCATTAAAAAATTATTGAAGTAGTACATTGACAAGATGCTGCCAGAAACTAAAGCTGGATTTAGAAGAGGACATGGAACAAGGAATATAGTCACTGACATCATATGGATCTTGGCTGAAAGCAGACAGTACCAGAAAGCAGTTTGTGCTTTCTTGACTATGCAAAGTCATTCGATTGTGTGGCTCATAAATTAAGCATAGCTTTGCAAAGAATGGATATTCCAGAATACTTATTCATACTCATGAGAAACTAAGAGGCAGTAAGATAGTTGTTAGAACAGAACAAGGGGATACTGAATGCTTGAAAATCAGAAAAGGTACATGCCAGAGTTGTATCCTTTCACTGTATTGATTAAAACTGGATTATAAGAAGAAGGTGGCATCAGGATTGGATGAAGACTCATTAACAACCTGTGATATGTAGATGACACGACCTTCTTTGCTAGCAGCAAAGACTCGAAATACTGATGAAGATCAAAGGCTATAACCTTCAGTGTGGATTACACCTCAATATAAGGAAAATGAAAATTTATACAACTGGACCAATATATAATATCATGATAAATGGTGAAAAGAAGGGAGTTGTCAAAGACTTCCTCCAAACCTGATGCCACCTTCTTCTTCATATAATTCAGCTTCTTGGATTATTTACTCGGCATGCAGGTCAAAAATGTATTGTGAAAGGATGCAACCTTGACACACATCTTTCCTAATTTTAAACCATTCGGTATCCCCTATCTGCTCTAATGACTGCCTCTTAGTCTATGTACAGTTTTCTCATGAGCTCAATTAGGTGTTTTGGATATCCCATTTTCACAATGTTACTTATAGTCTGTTATGATCCATGCAATCAACTGTCTTTGCATAGCTGATAAAGCAGAAGTTAACATCTTTATGGTGTTCTCTGTTTTGAGCTAAAATCCCTCTGATGTAAGCAGTGATATCTCTAGTTCCACATTCTCTTCTGCATCTGACTTGATTTTCTGGCTGCTCCCTGTCAATGTGCTGCTGCAACCATTTTTGTATTATTTTCAGTAAAAATTTACTCTTATCATAATGATATCATTTGATGATTTGTGCATTCTATTGGGTAACTTTTCTTTGAAATGGAGACGCCCCATATTGGAGAAGCAGACAATTCAGATATGTCTCTGTTCCAGGAACTTATATTTTAATGGAGCAAAAAACTTTATCAGGAGTACCTACAAAGTCTTCACAGAAAAAATGACATTTGAGTTGGAATTTGAAGGATGATACAATCCTTGAAATTAAGCCCTTTGGTTGCTGCTTCTAAGAATGCTAAACCTGTGATTTGGTTCCAACTCATAGTGACTCTATGTACAACAGAACAAAATACCTCCTGGTCCTGCTCTATTCCCTCAATAGTTTCTATGTTTGAACCAATTGTTGCAGTCAAACCTAGTAGCAAGGAAATGCCTTTAATTTTTCCACACCAAAGGTGATTGATTTAAAAACAACTATTGGTTAGTGCTCATTTTTCCTATTAATCATAGCATACAAAAATATATTTACTTTCCCCTCAGTAAATTGAGATCAACATGTTTTTGTTGGCTGATTAGTGTGTTTTTATGAGATCTTACCTGTAATGTACCTAGCACAGTGCCTAGAGAAACAGACAATAAGTGATAGCTAATTGGTTACTGACAGGAGCTCAGGTAGCATATACGAATTGGGCTGCTAATCTCAAGGTCAGCAGTTCAAAACTACTAGCTGTTCCATGTGCGAGAGATCCTCATCTTTCTGCCTCCTATAAAGAGTTACAGCCTTGGAAGCCCTACACAGGGTCGCTATGAGTCAGAACTGACTCCATGGCACACTACTACCACCAGTTGGTTACTGGAGTCCTGGTGTGGCACTGTGGGATAAAGCACTAGGCCACAAAGTTGGTTTGAACCACAGGTTGGTGATTCAAACTCATCAACCACTCCTTGGAAACCTTATACAGGATCACTCTGAAGCAGAACTGACTTGAAGACATTTAACAACAACAATTTGATTATTAGGATTCCTGATGTGGTACTGTAATATAAACGCTGGACTTCTAACAACAAGGTTGGCAGGTCAAACCCATCAGCTGTTTCTCAGAAACCCTACACAGGTTTGAGTTGGAATCAACTCAACAGCACTCAACAACAACAGCAATTAGATTAATAATTGCATTGGTCTGAAAAACCAATATTCGGTTATTTTACTAATTTTTTTAAAACCACCAAATATTTGTAGGAAGCAACACACAAATCTTAAAGCAATTCATAAGTTTATTATTTTTCCAGGAATTAAACGATTTTAGTTTGTACTATTTTATACATACTTTTCTTGTCTAGAGGTTTTAGAATATTTTCTGAGCTTCTGAAGTGTCTATAGGTTTAGAATCTTATCATGATATTATATGATAAATGGAAAAAAACTTATATTCTCATATTTTTTATCCCCTGAAAAGCTCAGTTAAGTTTAAAATATTTAAGCTTATAGTCTCATCCTTTTTTCCCCATGCAAAGCTCAGTTAATTAGACCAGATAAGCTTCATGACTCCAATTACAGTAGCACAGGATAAGTGCTATTTGAGATGATGGTTTTTACAATAGAGATACTGAAAATGTTAACAAGTGCAACATTTTTAAGGTCATTATCTTATAAGATATTTAACTGTGCAATTTTGAGTTTCCGTTGGTTTGAAATACAAGCCCAGGATTTTGTTTTAAACCCTGTTTATTTTATAGGTGTCTTTTTAATGTACTTTAGAAATTGGCAGTACTCTGCTAATAAATGATTGTTTATAGTAGCTTATAAAGTGATTATGATAAAATAAGATTATTTACTTTTGAAGTAAGATTATGAAAGATTTAGTAATTTAAATTTGAAAGAAGTAAAAATCTTATTTTAATTATTAAATTAAAGGCTGTTTAATCTTTCCCAGATGCTTTGTAATATTTCTACAAGGACCTTTAAAAGTGGACAATGAAAATATGCTCATGTGTTATTGTTTTTATATTTTTAATCTGATATATAGATTATAAAAAGCATGATATATTGGAAATAATTTTCATATTTGATGCTTTTTGTTGTAATTTTATCTGTTGTAATCGAATTTATTAAAATGCTTTGTGGGGAGCAAAAAAGTATGTGTAAAAGGATTCTAAGAATGACAAAATTAAAATAGAAATACTTTTAGCATTCAGCCGTAGTGTCGTTTTAAAGGTTAAGCACTGGGTTGGTAACTACTAGGTTAACAGTTCAAACCTACCAGCCTCTCTTAGAAACCCTCTTCAGGGTCACTATGAGTCTAACAGTCTTGATAGCACACAACAACAACAACAATATTGGTAGTCTCCTGATTCAAAAGCCAAGTGGCCAAATTACCGAAATACTTTGATGAAGACAATCTACCATTATAGCTGGGATTCCAAGTTTATGTGTTTTCTACATTACTGTTGACTCAGTGACCCTGTATAGGATTTCCAAGGCTGTAAATCTTTGCAGAAAGCCTCATCTTTCTTCCATGGAGCAACTGGTGACCTTGAACCAACAATCTTTTGGTTAGCAGTCCAGTGTTTATGCTATATGCTACAGAGTTACCACTGTTAGTAGGATATATTATGATAAATATCCTGGTGTGGCGCTGTGGGTTAATGTGGAAGACTGCAAAGCCAAGTGAACTTCAACGTCAGAGGATCAATCTCAACAGCTGCTCCTGGGAAACCCTATACAGGGCTGCTATGGGTCGGAATTGACTCGATGGCATTTAACAACAACAACATATATATGAATGACATGTGGACACCAGTTAATTTTGGTGTATTCACTACACTGTTTTGGAAGAAGTGCAGCCAGAGTGCTCCTTGAAGGCCAGGATGGCTAAACTTCGTCTCTCATACTTTGGACATTTTGTTCGGAGGGAACAGTCGCTGGAGAAGAATGTCATGCTGGGTAAGATGGAGGGTCAGAGAAAAAGAGGAAGACCCCTAACGAGATGGATTGGCCAAGTGGCATCATTGATGGTGTCAAGTGTGGCAGCGGTGGTGGGGTTGCCCAGGATCGGACATTGTTTTGTTCTGCTGTGCATGGGGTCACTATGAGTCGGTTCCGACTTGATGGCACCTGACAACAACAACAACACTATACAAACAACATTACTAGGGACCAGAAGCTCGGAAGCTTACTCTCTATCAATATTTCCTGGTGATTCTGGTTTTATCTTTTTTTCCTTTCCAGAACTGATGACGATAGTACTTATTGTCGAGCAGCCACTGAGTATGCAAGAGCCTGTTCCCATGCTGGCTTTCCTATTCAAGACTGGAGAGATGACTTTCCAGCTTGCAGTAAGTTTTCTTACTTTACAAGTCCTGTGTGTTGTTGCAAGCCATCAAATCAGTTCCTACTAACAGCAACCCTACTTAACAACAGAAGGAAGCGCTGCTCAGTCCTGTTGCAGCCTCAGAATTACTGCAATGTTTGAGACTATTGTTACAACCATCTTATTGAGAATGTTTCATTTTTATCTGACCCTCTACTTTACTAAGACTGATGTCATTCTCCAGGGACTGGTCCCTCCTGATAACGTGTCCAAATTATGTAAGACTAAGTCTTGCCATCTTTTATTCTAACAAGCATTCTGGTTGTACAGATTTGTTCATTCTTCTGGCAGTACATGGTGTTTTCAATATTCTTCACCAACACTTTAATTCAAATGTATTCTTCTTTGGTCTTTTTTTATTCATTGTCTAGCTTTCACATGCATATGAAATGATTGAGAATACTATGGCTTGGGTCAGGCACACCTTGAGTCTTCAAAGTGGCATCAAATACCCATAGAATTGAGGAAGTCT